AGATCTGTCAGCTTTCTCTCTCTCTCTCTCTCATCAAATTGAAATAATAAAATGAATAAATAAAGTTAAATAAGATAATTCTTAAAAAAAACTTAAAAGGTTTAAGCTTCCCTTTTTTTTAAATTGCCAGAGGGATGTGTGTTCACTAGAGAGAGTGGGGAGAGAAAGGGGGAGAGGGAGAGTGCCCTCCAGTGCGGCGTATGGTCATACCACAGTCCTCTCTCCTCCGGCTCTCCACCCCATCAGAATGTTGGGCACACATGCTGCGTGCCTGGCGTATTTTCCTTTTTTGTGTGCTAGAGGGCATGCGCACTTGTCAGAGAGAGGGAAAAGCACTCCTCATTGAGAATGGTCATGCCTCAGTTCATTCTCCATCTATCTCCCTCATTTCAGGATTTTGGGCACACATGTACATGTGCCTAACATGTTTCTCAAGTGGCTGGGTCTGGGACTTGGAACTGTACTTGGCCATGTGGGATCTAGCTGCCTTAACTGCGAGGTCCTGGAACTGGCTTGCTGGCATGTTTTTCAAATTATCGGGACCAAATTTGAACCATGCTAGTCATGTGGGGTCTGTCTTCTTTTTTTTTTTGGAGAGGTTTTTTTTGCTATAGGGCGTGTGTGCTCTCCAGACAGAGAGAGACAGAGAGATAGAAAGCAAGAAATCACCTCCCAGGGGGGATGGCCATGCCGCAATCCCTTCTTCATTCTCCTCTCGGGATCTTGGGCACGCACGCACACGCACCCAGCGTGAGTTTAAGCTACCGGGTCCGGGACTCGAACCGCGGTCGACTACTTGGGAGTCCAGTGACATAGCCATTAAGCTAACTGCTAGTCCTATGTGGGGTCTTTCTACTCAGTGTTAATTGCTGTGCAACCAGGCCAGCCTGAATAAAATTAAAACTTTTTTTTAACAAATTATTCTATTTAACTTTATTATTTTTTAATTTGGCCAGAGACAGAGGGAAAGTGAGAAAGCAAGCCACCAAAACTGGGTCTCAAACCACAGTCAACCCTGTGGGAGTCCAGTGTCCCAACCACCACATCACCTACTGGCCCCCAAATTAAGACTTTTCAATGAGCTTTGATTTTTCTTTTCGAAATCTCATTTTGAGAGAGCAAGCAGGTTGCATGGTGGTTAAAGGTGCTGGATTTTCATGTGGCTGACCATGGTTCGAGTCCCGGATCTGGCAGCTTTCTTGCTTTCCCTTTCTCTCTCATTGTCTCATTGTCTCTGTTCAAATAAAGAAAAAAATAATAATAACAAATGAAAATAAATAATTCTTTTTAAAAAAAGGAATCTCTTTTTTTTTTTTTTTGAGAGGTTTTTCGCTATAGGGCGCGTGCGCTCGCCAGACAGACAGAGACAAAGAGACAGAAAGCGAGAAATCACCCCCCGAGGGGGGGATGGTCACGCCGCAATCCCTTCTCCTCCATTCTCCTCTTGGGATCTTGGGCACACACGCACACTCGCCCGGCGTGAGTTTTAAGCCACCGGGTCCAGGACGCGAACCGCGGTCAACTACATGGGAGTCCAGCGACATAGCCATTACGCTAACTGCTGGTTCCCCTCTGCTGTGACTTTTAATGCCGTCAGTGTATTTGTGCTAGTACTTTATCATGGTCACACACCAGTTTTCATCCCCTTGAGGGTAATACCACTCCTGATGAGGAAGTTTGGGTTGGCCCCATTGAGTTATGAAATTATCTTAGTTAACTTTACAGTTTGTAAACACCCCCACCCCACCCCCCGGCAAGACTAATATTTTACAGCCATTAGATAATTGGTTTAAGGTCTGGTTTCTGTTAAAAAAAAAAAAAAAAAAAAGAAAAAGAAAAAAGAAAAAAGGGACCAGCAGTTGTCGTAATGGTTATGTCTCTGGAAAGTTGACCGTGGTTCGAGTCCCAGACCTGGTGGCTTAAACTCATGCCGGGCGCATGTGCGTGCATGCCCGAGATCCTGAGAGGAGAAGGGATTGGGGCGTGGCAATCCCACCCCCCTGGGGGGTGATTTCTCGCTTTCTGTCTCTCTGTCTCTCTGTCTTTCTGGCGAGTGCACATGCCCTATTGCAAAAACCTCCATTAAAAAAAAAGTCTGGTTTCGTTTTTTTTCCTTTGAAGGTGATTCACTAAGTACATTACACTCACGGGTGCTGAGATTAAGCCCTAAGTCTGGGAACAAAGAGCATTTTATATATTTTATTTGGAAATCTGTAAGGAAAATTTGTCATTTTTTTCTTACTCATTTAGTCATTTACATCCGTCTGGCCTCATTTATATTTATTGTATCCTTCGGTTTGTTATCCCATTGGTTACTTTGTTTAAGTTATTTCAGCTTTAGTGAAGGCGAGCTCTTCATGTTAACTCTTAGCACCACAAGATCCCTGAGGGCTCACCTTGCATTTCCCTGCCCAAGGCTAGTGATTGAATTATCCGTGTAGATCTTTTACCTTCTCCCTTTTGATATGAGGTGGCTGTGCGTGCCAGAGCGCGAGCACCCTCAGTACTGTCCACCATGCCTTGATCTCAGTTCCCTAGTCCTCTGCCTCCTCATGGTCCTCGGTGCCTCTATGCAGCCTGATTTTGAGGCTGGCCAGGGTCTGAACTGTGGTTATCGTAGGAGTTCCAGCGCCGCAGAGTGGTCGCTTCACTGTGCCACAGGGACTGGGCAGACTTCTGCTTTTTATTTAACCACATTGTACTATTTACTATCAATGAGCATTCTATTAACTGTTACATATATTTACAGTAGTTACAGGGTTAAACATATGAGAGCTTAGCTTGTTTATGTCAAATCTCATAGAGTTGGAAATCTCTCTGGATTCTGGCTTTTGTCCTGTTGGCTGATCCTCTAAATTTCATGCCATTTGTGGTTCTGATGAGCCCACCTGAAATCTTTATCAAACCTTGGTCAGATTTGGTCCTTGGGATTGGCTCTTCTTTCATGGTATCATGTTGCTACTCTTGTTTCCTTAGAGGCTACTTAGATTGAGAAGATTTCTTTTTAACTCTTTCACTTTGAATAGAGAGTGGAGGATGGTATTTTGAAAACAAAATGTTGGGACCAGCAGATGGCTTAATGGTTACATTGCTGGCCTCCCAGCTGAGTGTTGTGGCATGGCCATCTCCCTCGAGGTGTGATTTCTCACTTACTTTCACTTCTTTCTCTCTTTGGTGAGCGCACATGCCCTATAAAAAGAATGTCTCTGAAAGAAAAAACAACAAAATGTTGAGGAAGATAAAAAATGGTTTAAGTGCTAAACTTAGTAGCAATACATTCACATCTGTAGCTATTACAGTTTGTAGTGCAGTAAAGAGCAGTGAGTTCTGGGTACCATTTCATATGTACGTATATGCAAGTTCACAGTACCTGTATCTTCTGAAATAAAATCCTTCTCTATATGAGTTTTTGTTACTGGTATAGGCTATTTATCAGTTTTTATGTTGACAGATTTCAGAAATATGGCTTTTAGGAATCTGAAAGGTTCCTGAACCCTTGATTCAGCTCTGACTCCAGTATATTACTAGCACACCCCAAAATCTGCACATCAAAAAATGGATAAATCTATGTCTTTTTTTTTTTTTTTTTTGGAGAGGGTTTTGCTATAGGGCGCGTGCGCTCGCCAGACAGACAGAGACATAGAGACAGAAAGCAAGAAATCACCCCCCAGGGGGGATGGTCATGCCGCAATCCCTTCTCCATTCTCCTCTCGGGATCTTGGGCACGCACGCACACGCGCCCAGCGTGAGTTTTAAGCCACCGGGTCTGGGATGTGAACCGTGATCGACTACGTGGGAGTCCAGCGACATAGCCATTACGCTAACTGCTGGTTCCCAAATCTATGTCTTTATATATAATTTTCCATTAATGCTGTATAGTGTGGAGCCTTCTCTGTAGTACAAATGCCTGTTGCTTCATGTTTACTACAAAAAGTTCTTTCATTTTTCTACTTTTTCTATGTGTCAGAGATAAGTTGTTTTTTTTTTTTTTTTTAAGAATCCTTTTATTTATTTTTATTATTTTTTAATTTGATCTGAGAGAGAAGGAAAGTGAGAAAGCAAGCCGCCAGGTTGGGGACTCAAACTGCTCGTGTGCATGCATGCCTGGGATCCTGGAAGGAGAATGGAGAAGGGATTATGGCATGGCCATCTCTGGCAGTAGGCGGCGTGGCCCCATAAGGATTTTTAAAGAGAGGTTTTTGTCTTAGGGCATGTACACTCAGCCGAGAGAGAGAAGATAGAGACGATGAGAGGGAAAGTGAGAAATCCCCCCCCTCCGCCCCCCACCCACTGCCAGAGATAGTCATGCCACAGTCCCTTCCTTGGGCTCAGAGAGAGATTTCCACCTGCTGTAGAAAACCAGATGTGAGGAGTGGAAAACAGCATTCGGAGAGATTAGGAGAGCTGCTTATTACGTTGGTGGGCACAGAGGAGTTAACACTCTAAATCTCTGGCCCTCAGCATGATTTTCAAGCCACTGAGTCCAGGACTCAAACTGCTGGTGGCCATGTGAGGAGTCCAGTGACATAACTGCTATATCTTCTGTTAGCTTCAAAAATAAGGTTTTTAAGAGGGACAGAGGACACCAGCAGATGGCATAATGGTTACATTGCTGTACTCCCACATGGCCGACCGTGGTTCAAGCCCTGAACTCAGGTGGCTTGAAACTCACACCTGGCATGTGTGTGTGCATTCCCAAAATCCTGAGAAGAGAATGGAGAAGGGATTGGGGTCTGACCTTCCCTCCTGGGGGGGTGATTTCTCGTTTTCGATTTCTCTGTTTCTGGCATGCACATGCGCTGTATAGTAGATGTGTCTGAAAAAAACAAGTGACCAGAGATTCGAGATAGTTCAGTGATTGATGATAAGTTGGACAGCCTTCTGGCTGTGAAGGCACATTGTAAGTTGAAGACCAGGGCACAAACAAGAGGTGTACCTATCCATCACACAGAATAGACCTAAAGTATTATTTTTAAAGATGCCTTCTTTTCTGGATACAGGTACAGAATGAGCACGTGCTGTTGGTGTACACCGGGTGGTACCTCCACCGTTGACTTCCTAAAACGCTATGCATCCAAGACCCTACCTAGCGAATTTCAGACAGCGGATGAAGACCTGTGCTACTGTTTAGAGTGTGTGGCTGAGTACCACAAAGCAAGAGATGAATTGCCATGTTTGCATGAGGTAATTTACACAATGTAAATTAGATGGGCAGCCTTTTGGAAAACTTGATATCTGGGAAGATAATATTGTTGAACTCTTGGCGTTCAGGGATATATTGATAGGATTTCCACTTTGAAGGCTGTTGCATTTCTAGTAGCTAACTCATTGCCTGGTGTACAATAGATGCCAAGCAAGTGCTTATCACTGATAGAATTGAATTTAAACCTCGGGACCAGCAGATGGTGTAATGGTTATGTTGCAGAACTCCCACATAGTCAACCATGGTTTGAGTCCCGAACCCGGTGGCTTAAAATTCACGCCGGTGTATGTGCGTGCCCAGGATTCTGAAGGGAGAATGGAGAAGAAGGGGTTGCAGTGTGGCCATTCTCCTTGGGTGGTCATTTCTCACTTTCTGTTTCTCTGTCCATCTCTGTCTCTCTCTGGTAAGCACCACATGCCTTATAGGAAAATCTCTTTAAAAAAAAAAAAAGCAAACTCTCTTAAAAAAAAAAAAAAAGGATTGAATTAAAGCCTAAAGCAGAATTTATGCTCCATCACTGAGCTCAAAACAACTTTATGAAATAGAGTCATGTGGGTTTTTGTTTTACTCTTCTGTGTCAGTATAATTGTTATTGCTATGTTCATGTGTTTGAATAACTTGTTTTTTTTTTTATTGTTGTGTTTTGTTTGTTTGTTTTTTCCTTTGAGAGGTTTTTGCTATAGGGCGCGTGTGCTTGCCAGAAAGAGAGAGAGACAGAGAGACAGAAAGCAAGAAATCACTCCCCAGGGGGGATGGCCACGCCGCAATCCCTTCCCCTTCATTTCTCCTCTTGGGATCTTTGGTACACATGCACATGCACCTGGTGTGAGTTTAAGCCACCGGGTCTGGGACTCGAACTGCAGTCGACTACGTGGGAGTCCAGTGACATAGCCATTATGCCAACTGCTGGTCCCTATTTTATTGATTAATAATAACTTTTTGTCCTTTTTTCATGGTTTAATGGGTATGTGTTATGAACATCTAAGGGCAAGCATATTTTCTAGTCATAGTAACCATTGTGAAAGTTAAATTCTAAGTGCGTGACATTGCGTACTTGGTTTATTACATTTACCTAGTGAAAAGACAGATTATAGGGATGTGTACAGTATTATAGAGGAAGGGATATTTAGTTAGGAATCTGTGTTGAGAAAGTTGAATTTTATATATTTTCCTACCTATGAAACTATTTAAGGTCTCTGTGCTGAAAGTGATGTTCTAAGATAGGTATTTGTGTCTAGAACATAAAAAGGAAGACAGAAGGCTTATTTAGCTTATACTTAGGCAAAGAGGCTCTAGCTTCTCGTTTTCTTTTTTCTTTTTAAATTTTGTTATAGGGCACATGTGCTCACCAGGTAGAGGGAAAGTGAGAAATCACCTCAAGGAGGGATGGCCACGCTGCAGTTCCTTTCTCTCCATTCTTCTCTCCATTTTCAGCATGCACGCACATGCACCTTGTGTATTTTCAAGCTGCCAGGTCCAGGACTTGAACCTGTGGGATCCAGCTGTCCCACTCAACCATGCCACTGACTGGCCCTTCATTTTATTTTGAATAGAGCATAGTTAATAGGTATATTGAGATATTTATAGGAAAACTCTGTGAGAGAAATTTTAAATATCTCATATCCTAAGTACTTACTTTTCATAAAAATGGCCATGCTTAGAGTGTTGTGATATTTTTTGTTTAGATTTTTGCCACAGGGCACATGCACTCTTTGGAAAGAGAGAGAGAGGGAGGGAGGGAGGGAAAGGAGAGAGAGGGGGAGAGGGGGGGAGTGGAGAAAGCACCCACTGGGGGATGACCTTGCCACAGTCCCTTCTCTTCCATTCTTCTCTTGGGATTTTGGGCATGTACACAGACATGCCTGGCATGTTTCTCAAGCGTCTGAGTCCGGGAAGCTTAACTGTGCCAGCCATGTGAGATCCAGCACCTTAAGTACCATGTCAAGTGCTGGCCTGAGACTGTTGTGTTTTTTTAAAAATTCCTGATAATCTGTGTGCACACATGAGTTGGGGGGCACTTCCCAAGAAGGCCAGGCCATGCTGTACTCCCCTTCCCTGGACCTCTTAGCTTGTCCGGGTCCCAGGCTCACGTGTGCACACCCAGTGTGTTTCAGATCAGCAGGGCTAGCGCTCTGAAATGGGGTTGCCACATGGCTTCCGGCGTTGTACTCCTGCATGTTACTGACTACCACAGGCTGGGCCAGAGACCGTATTTTAAAAAATAATACAGGCTTTTAGTACTTTATACTTTGGAATTTTTATGTTTATAAAAAAATTTCTAGGGACCAGGAGTTGGCGTAATGGCTATGTCGCCGGACTCCCATGTAGCCGACCATGGTTTGAGTCCCGGGCCTGGTGGCTTAAACTCACGCCAGGCACGTGTGTATGCATGCCCAAGATCCTGAGAGGAGAATGGAGGAGAAGGGATTGTGGTGTGGCCACCCTCCCTGAGGGGTGATTTCTCACTTTCTGTCTCTCTGTCTCTCTGTCTTTCTGGCGAGCGCGTATGCGCCCTATAGCAAAAAAAAAAAAAAAAAAATTCTAGGTACCAGCAGATGGCGTTATGGTTACGTCGCTGGACTCCCATATGATTGACTATGGTTTGAGTTCTGGACCCAGCAGCTTGAAACATACAGGCGTGTGAGCGTGTGTGCCCAAAGTCCTGAGAGGAGAATGGAGGAAAAGGGATTGCAGCGTGGCCATCCTCTCTGGGTGGTGCTTTCTCAGTTTTTGGCTGACTGTCTCTCTGGTGAGAGCACATGCCCTATAGCAAAAATCTCTATCCCCCCCCCAAAAAAGAAAAAAATCCTAGAATGACCATCACACCCAGCATGTGTTTTTGATAATAAGTTATACAGCCTATTGCTTATTTTTTTCCTATAGGTTTTATGGGAATTAGAAACCTCACGTCTCATAAATTACTTTGAAAAGTCCATGAAGGCAGAAATTGGAGATGACGATGACTTATATATAGTAGACAACAAAGGAGAGACCCATCTGTTTGATTTTACTGGCCAAGATTTTGAAAATAAACTGCGAGTTCCTCTTCTTGAAATACTGAAATATCCTTACCTGCTTCTGCATGAGCGTGTCAGTGAGTATCTTGGATGTTTCAAGGTGTGTTATGTTTGTTATTTAAGAATTATAAAAATGTGGGACCAGCAGATGGCATAAACGGTACGTCGCTGGATTCCCACATGGCCAACCATCAGACCCAAGGCTTGAAACTCACTGAGTGCAGGTGCGTGCATGGCTGCCTGCCCAAAATCCCTAGAGGAGAATGGAGGAGAAGGGATTGCATTAGGTCTGTCCCCCTGGGGTGGTGGTGGTGTGATTTCTTGCTTTCTGTCTCTCCAGTGAGTGCATGCACCCTATAGCAAAAATCTCTCTAAAAATAAATAAAAATGATAAAAATTTAAGTTTAGGGATGGCAGGTGGTATGGTGGTTAAGGCTCTGGATCTTCCACATGGCAAATCATGGTTCTAGTCCCAGACCCAGTGACTTGAAACTCATGTAGGCATGTGTATGTGCGTAAGAGAAGCGTAGAAAAGGGATTGCTGCATGGCCATATCCCCTGGGGGGATGATTTGTCACTTTCTCTCTCTCTCTCTCTGGTGAGTGTATACACCCTATAGCAAAAATCATTCCCTCCCCCACCAAAAAAAAATGTTTATCAGGGATCAGCAGGTGCATGGTGGTTAAAACACTGGCGCATGCCACACATGCTCAGAACTTCAATGCACTTTTGTTCCCAAAATTCTAGGAGGGAAGTGGAGGAGAAGGAATTATGGCATGCCCATCCCCCCTGAGGGGGTGATTTCCCACTTTCCCTCTTACTCTCTTTTTCTGGCATGCACACATGCCCAATAGCAGAAACCTCCAAAAAAAAAAAAATTAAAGTTTATATTGAAAATTTATTTGTTAAATATATAATTAGAATACTCTATAGTTTTTTCCAGCATTTTATTTCGAAGGTTTTTAAATACAGAAAAGTAAATTATGGAGCGAACATGTGCTTATCGCATAGATTTTATAGTTGTTAACCTTTAACTGTATTTGCTTTATCACGTTATCTATTCATCTTATTTAATTTTTCATTATCGTAATTTGTCTACAGCAGATTCTGAACATCTACACTATTGACCTTTAGGGCTGTTTAATTTTTTTTTTTAGATGTCTTTTTTGCTATAGGGTGTGTGCACTCACCAGAAAGACAGAGACAGAAAGTGAGAAATCACCCCCCCAGGGGGGTGGCCACACCACAATCCCTTCTCCTCCAGTCTCCTCTCAGGATCTTGGGCACACGTGCACAGAATGGCTCTTGTTTTAAAACTGCTGGGCTGGGGGCCAGCAGGCATGATGGTTAAGGTGCTGAACTCCCACCTGGCCAACAGCGTCTAAGTCCCAGGCCTGGCAGCTTACTTTCTCTCTCTCTCATTCTCTCATTCTCTTTCTCTCATGAGTGCACGTGCCCTACAGTAAATTTTAAAAAGGGGGGGAGGGGTGGCAGGTGGTGTGGTGGTTAAAGGCGCTGGACTCCCATGTGGCCAATTGTGGTTCAAATTCCAGACCTGGTGGCTTGCTTTCTCACTTTCCCTCTCTCTCGCTTTTTCATCAAACTGAAAAATAATAATAAAATTAGATAAATCTTTTAAAAAAACGAAGTAATTCTTTAGAACACCAGTGGTCCTAGGACTACTAGATGGCGTAATATTTACGTTGCTGGACTCCCACGTAGTCAACTGCAGTTTGAGTCCCAGTGGCTTAAAACTCAAGCCGGGCATGTGTGCGTGTATGTCCGTAATCCCTAGAGAATGGGGGAGAAGGGACTGCAGAGTGGCCATACCGCTTGGAGGGGGGTGATTTCTTGCCTTCTGTCTCTCCAGTGAGCTTATGTGCTCTATAGCAAAAATCTCTTAAAGAAAATAAAATAAAAGAAAACCAGTGGTCTGTAGTAATTATTACTAATCACCATGACATGACTTATTATGCTGTATAGATATTGGTCATATTTGCTTTGTTTTTAATTTTTTTTTCTTTTTTTTTTTTACAGAGCTATTTGCTGTAGGACTTGTGTGATCACTGGAGAGGCAGAGAGACAAAGTGAGAAGCCACTCCCCCTCGGGGTTGGCCACACCGCAGTCCCTTCGTCTCCAGTCTTCTCCTGTCTCCTCTGGGGATTTTGGGTACACAGGCATACATACCTGGCATGAGTTTCAAGCCTCTGGGTCTGGAACTCAACTGTGTCAGCCATGGGGGAGTCTAGTGACATAACTATTACACCATCTGCTGGTTTCCATATTTGCTTTTTATTTTTTTAAAAATTATTTATTTAATTTTATTTATTTATTTATTCATCTTAATTTGACCAGAGAGAGACAAAGAGAGAGAGGGAAAGTGAGAAAGCAAACCATCAGGTCTAGGACTCGAACTGTGGTCAGCCGTGTGGGAGTGTCCAGCACCCCAACCACCACGCCACCTGCTGGTCCCCCATATTTGCATTTTTAAATATGAATCTTTTTTTTTTTTTTGGAGGGGTTTTC